CTTTGAGGGAAAAATTACTACTTCTGACTTATCTTCAAACTATCACCACCATTTCGACTCGAACTACACAGATCTTTCACTTCGACCGATATCCTTCGGCAAGCCTGCTAGTCAGCCATGCTGCAAGCACTGCAGCGCAACCTCCGAACCTCAACACCCACCCAACACTATCATCCCAAGGCTCACCTCTAGGTTTCTGAAACATCTTAAAAATAGCACTGCATATCAAGCTGGACAGGATCTGCGGCGAGGAGACCGCCACATTATGAAGCCCGAGAATGATTCCCGCCTGGGCAAGATTTTCTTCCTCGTCCGTTGGCTTCCTGGGCCCATCCTCTAGATCGCCAACGCCTGTGGCAAAATTTGGCTGAGTAGAGTTGTTAGCGGAATGCTGTGCCGCCATCTCTGACCGATGTTGCCGAACCCGACGTTCGGTATCAATCCGTGCGACCTCTGCGGATATGAGCGCAAAAGGTGCCCAGAGCGTCAAAGCCCAGGAGATACCGACTATTCCAATCACCACTGTCGCCGCTTGATGACTATAGATAAAAAAGGTGCTAAACATGCAGAGCGCAAAGAGTACATGAGACAAGAGCCAAGCTCGGCGGAGCGTAAATCCTGGGATCTGCAGTTTTGACAGCCACGTTGATCCGTCTGTGGCTTCGACATTTTGCTTATCCGGAAGAGTCGGGGGCGGCTCCGACGCAGTACCGACTGGTAGGCTTGAGCATGACATTCTTCTTGTTCCTAGAAATGGCCTTCTCTCATCTGAAGGCGTGTTGATATCCTCGGATGAAACAACAGATCTGTAAGTAGGGACAACGAAAATAGGCAATGTTATGTTAGCAACAAACGAAATGATTGCATATACAAGAAGGGCAAACGTTCCGATCCTAGTAGCTTTCTCCCAGGCCTCGTCTATTTCATTGTCAGGAAGGTTCGGGTGCTCATCGAAGATTGGGTTGACATAAAGCTGCCCGATGTACGTCGTAGCGTAGAAGAGGAAAGGAAACCACCCAACCCATGCAGCCAGTTGGACTTCACAAACTTTGGCAATCTGGGGTGGTAGGTACTGAATCGACTTGAAGACCTGTCTGAAGAAGGTCACAACACCAGGATTTCCGATAGAAACTGAGGATTCAAGCCGCGGATCTCGTTCCTGGATATATAGACAGCTGATCAATAGCGTGATAATAAGCGATAGCGATGCTATTGCACACAACACTTTGAACTGCGTGTTTCCCAATATTGGGAGATAGCGGGGCAAATCAATATATCCAAAAATGTATCCTAGAATGCTGCCCACGCCAGTGAGCCGGCTAGCCCATGCGTTCGCTGATTCCTGTTGGTGCGCCGGCGCGTTATCAACGATAAAACACCGAATGCCTGCTTGAACTGTGCCCGTTTAGTATGGCTGAGCCAAAGGGACGAGATAATCAGCCTTACCAGTGTTTATAGCGAAATCTAGACAGTACATCAAGATAGTTGCAAAGGCTATGATCGCCGTCCTAGTTCCTGTAGACGCCTGGTCGACGCCAAATATACCGAGGAAACCTCCTACTAGTTCTCTCACCCACGCAAGAGCAAGCAGAGCCACAACAGTGGCCAAGCCGCCAACTACCATGAAGGGCTTCCGTTTGCCCCATGACGAGCGACAGTTGTCGCTGCAGATACCAATATATGGTTGCACAAGCGTTCCTGTCAGGGGGCCAGCAATCCAGACGAAAGCGAGCAGGGCTTTGCTCATTCCCAGAGACAAAAGGAAAGGCTACATAGACACGTACATCAAAAACAAGGTTAACGCGTATTCCCACATGGGTGTCGGGTTAGATTTGCTTACCGACCCATTCGATAGTTCAACTGACCAGACAATTTGGAGTCTATGTTTTCCCTTGGTCAGTTTTGCCGTCTAGAGAAACCTGTGGTTTCATTGTGTCATAAGTAGGACAGATGACTTACCCACCAATACTCAACGTTAATAAGAAGAGATACCAGCTACTCTTTGTTTCTGATAAATGTTCAGGAGCCTCGGCTCCAATGCCAGCCTGCATTTCCTGCGCTGTTATTAAGTCGACGTCGTTATCGTTGTCTGGTCCCACTAAGGGGGACATCTCATCCGCTACTCGTTCATCTGTATCCGTCATCGGGGCGAATAAGACCAGAAACTCTTTCTGGTTTAGAAGTCAACCTCGGCTTCCACGGGGAACGTGTAACCTGCAATTTTCTAGCCCGGAGCGGAGAGGATGTGATGTATGAGAATGAATGTAGAGATTAAATAGATAATAGAAGGTACCGGTGGGTGGAGCAAATAGCTTGGTCTTCTTTTTCTTCGTACTTCCAACGTCGCTATGAGAAGAATATATGCAGGTCGACGCGTAGCTAAAGAAGCGTTTGGTGTGTCTAGACCCTAGTGAATAGCTGGAGTCGAGGTACCCCGGACTCTTATGTGGACCAATCAATAGAAATGGATACAGAAGGTATCATCAAGGACGATCATTTGCAGATAGAGAAAGTAGACTACTTGATAGGGGCTGGCTGGGACTAGCTTCGAGGAAAGAAAGCAAAGAAAAGGAGAAGAACGGATACACAACCCCGATGGAAACAAGCTTCCAAGACGATGTTAATGCAGGATACCTATCTTCTTGGAGAAGCTGGATCAATCGACGTCAGCAGGGCCGTCACATGACGTGGCACAACACATCATGGATGGAACGCCTGGAATCGAGATCCAAATGACGAACCATGGGTTATGGCGCATGTCAGAAGGACATTGTATTTAATTTACCGTAGTTTGTGGAGAGTCATTTATGATCTGGAGTGGTCTTCTAGAACTTCTGAAGCTTCAATATTCATCCTAAGCAGGGGCATAATGAGAATCCCATAATATTCCGCAATATATTTGCTCCTCAAAAGCTATACGCCGCTTTTATTCCATCCCGCATCGTGCTTTCCCTCGTGATTCCTGCCATCCAGAATTCCCATATAGAGGAAAGAAAAATGATACAGAAAGTCCATCCAATATCAACATAGCGCGTGAGAAACAAATGAAAACAACCAGAAAAAAAACTCAGAACTAATTATGGTAGAACCGTAGCGTAGATGACGACCAGTAACACATGTACACACACCAAAATCCAACGCATTCCGGACAGTAGACTAGAAAATCGGCAAACCTGCACTGAAATTCTCAGACCCTGGCGGTAGGTTGGAGAGCAGAGATTAGAACACCCTCTCAACATGTCTCAATAGCGTGATGTAGTAGTCCAGCAGCCAAGTCACAATTGGAGAATCTAATGGCTGGATTAAATGATTCAACAAATGGTATAAACAAATATTCTAAAGCATGTAAAATATCCGACCCCGGACTATCAAAATCCACCGTAGGGATTACGGTCGGCAAAATCGGAGTCATTATTAATTTCGCGAGATTGGGGAAAGTACCACTGGAGTCATACTTTCCCTCACGCCTTCTACATCTGCTGCTGTAGAAGTTGCGGAGCAACCATGTGAGGTGCCATCATGGTAGACATGGCAGAAGGCAGGGTCATGGTAGAAGGCATTGACGTGACAGTGGAGACATTCACCACGGTACTTGGAATGGACTCCGAAGGGGACGATCCCTCATCCTGCGAACCGAGTTCGTTGTCCTCATTATCCAGGTCCTCGTCTTGCGCATGGAGTGGTTGTTGGCCATCCTGTTGAGCCTCATGGATTCGACGGTGTCTACGCGGATGGTCAGTGTATGCTTTAGGTACAATGCATTGTTAGTCAACTCACTGTGCAAGATTGTCAGAGCGCGAAAAGGCTTTGTTACAGTAAGGACAAGGGTAGGGTCTTTCCTGAGTGTGGGTTCTCACATGCCTATGTGACAATTGTCAGCGAGTGCTTACAAATACAGTCACAACGCCGCCAAATAGATAGGCGAAGTCAGTCAAGTTATTAGATAGTTGTAACTTACCGCTTCAGGTGTTCTAATCTCTTGAAGAGTCGCCCACATGATGGGATAGGGCATGAATGTGATTTCTGGGGATAAGGGCCAAGCTCCATCATTGTAGCGCTTCGAGCGCGGCGAACAGGGCCGGGAACAAACCGCTCCGCTTTGTTCATCACACTGTGCTGCGCGCCTGTCTCCAGAACATCGCCATTAGGAAGTGCTGTCAACTCATCAGGATTCGCAAGTGGCATGGCGCTCTGCTCAGGATTTTCCTCGAGGCTTGAAAGTGGCGTCCCATTGCGAGACATCTCGTGTAGCAAATTCTTCTGCGGAAGGGCGCCCGTCGGATAACCGTTCATGATACGGCGGGACGAGTCATGACGTGGCTCTTCCACCTCAGCGAGGGGGGCCACCGAGCTGGAAACGGAGCGCCGTAGATCACTTGGCCTATGAGCAGCGTACGCAATTGGTTGAGAGGGTCCCGGCGCTTGAGCATGAGTGGGAGTAGCGATCGGGTTATTACGCCCGGTGGTATCGAGGATCGACGCCGCCGTTGCTTGTATGTTGGAGAGCCCTCTAGAACAGAGTACACATTTGAATGAAATGTCCTTGCAGGCGTGGGGAAATGAGCGCTTGCGAGATTTGATGGCGGAAGCTGCAACATTGGGTTGAATGCAGCAGCAGAAGAGATCTCAGGGATAGCGGTATAGAGGCCGGTATCTTCATTAGCAATATATGCTGGTTCAGTGCCAAGCGGAACACTGTGCTGTGGAGGCGTAACAGGTTCAAAGGACAATCCCCGGTTGCTGTAATCTTCGTATTGGGACGAAACGAACGATGGTGCCGGCGAATACTCGACGAAAGTTGGCATGGAGGCATGGCGCTGATGCACACGAGCAATGGGCATTCCATTGCGATCATACTGGATTGTCCCATAATCTAACTCGCGCTTAACAACGTTCTGCGCCAGGGTATTGGGCATGGGGATCGGGTTGTAAATCGCTGGACTGCCAGATTCGTCCGGGAGGAGTGATATCGTCGGGGGGGCCATCTGGGGAGCCATCTGGGGAGGAGGCATAGCGTCAACGGTCCGAACCACTGGGGAAGCGGATTGGCCATATGTCGTACTTGCGTGTGCAGTAAACGATGATGAGTTTGCTTGTTGTGCCTTTGTGAGCTGTTCATACAACGATTGAGATGAATCAAACTCGAAGGACAAAGCAGGCTCGCTGACCGCGACGGTAGTCGCCTCTTGTCCCATTTTCTCCCGCTTCAAATCACGTTCCAAAGCATCGAGGAACAGCCGATCATGCGGAACGCTATACCAGTAAAAAACTTTTTGCTTTTTCTGTGTTCGAATGCAATTGTTCTTATAGAGAAAATCAAGGAATGGACTTTTCGGTTCTTCTAGTGTCGCATCTGTTCCAGCCTTGAGATTACGCAGATCGGAAAAGATACCCTCTTCGAACTTCTTCGAATTCTTGACGGGGCGCCCGAAAGCTTGAAATCTGAAGGCGAGACACCGAACTATATCGGTACCCGAGATGTGGAAAAGATTGTTCCTATCACCAAATCAGCCCGAGTGTCCTTCCTCTTAAGCCAGAGGTAAAATGTGATCAAACGGACCATAGAACACAAGATATGTAGTCGCCAGTAGGGAGTAGGAACCGTCTAATGAGTTGATCTGGTTGCCAGTCCACTGGCGCAGAAAGGAGGAAGTACTTCACTATATCAAAAATCATATTAACCTAGGAAATGATATTGATTGACGCTAAATGACGAGGCTGTTCGAGGCGGCCGCCTCCGTTGAGGGATATCCGACTTACAATTGTCAACTTGCTGTAGCGCGACTTGCGCGTCGTGAGGAAGGCTTTGCTGTGCCTCGTTTGAAAGCATAAATGTTTCCGGTTTCTGAGGGGGTGCCATGGGAGCACCATGTTGCGGATACATCTTGCTCAGAGAATGCCTGTATATCTTATTAATCAGGTACTAGAAGAATATCTGAATCAAAGATAAGCGGCATTGACAAGTTGGATGAAACAACAACTCTGTGGCTAGGCTTTGAAGCAGCAATCGGAAATGGGACGGAAACCTACGCACAGGCACGACTGTCTCGGAAAGTGGCAAAACCACAAGCTCTAAACTAAAGAGCGATATGGTCTTGGGGAAAGAAAGTGATAAAAATTGAAGAAACCCAGAAACAAAAAAGAAAAGGCAATAAGTTTAGGATATGGAATCAACGACCGATCATGGAAACACTGAAGCTATCCAAACACAAGAGGAACCGGCCTCTTCGAAAAGGTGGGTGGGCGCTGACGTTGCAAGGCTTGTCAACTCAATGAAGAGAGAAGGCGGAAAAGAGGGCAACAGAGAGTTGAAGTGGGCCAGCCCGGATCCAAGTCTCTTTGAATAACTCGCACGGCGAAAGTGGAACGAAACGAAGGGTGATGAAGAGAAAGGGAAGAAAAAAAATAAAGAAAGAGGTCAGTCGCGATGAGAAGGGGAGGGGGGAAGAATAAGAGAAGGCGGAGGATGACTGCCGGAGGTGTTGCTCTTTTACAGCGGTTAGATGGTAATAATAACACTAGGGTAATAAAATAGTAAAGGTAGGTAACTATGTCAATCAATCAAAATAATAATAGTAAAAAATCAACTAGTGTCGAGGGGTTAAGAACTTGGAAGAGGAATTCAGGGAGCGCCGACCGAGACCGGATGAGGTTTCCCAGTTGGAGGAGGGCCCTTTTTCTGGCTCCGTCGTTCTCCTCTCACTACTTCAACTTAATTAAGGTACTTAGTACGACGGCTAAACCGAGTCTCTTTCTTCTCTAGCCTTTGGCCTGTGGTTGGGCTGCGGGAAGGACGCACGACGAAAAAGTAGGGCTTCTGTTGGCGAAGCGGAGACTGGCGCCAGGGACCGTCCCCTAGGGTAAAGGCTGAGCGCTACCCATACATGATACGATACACGTTAGTTACCGTACCCACCGTTCGTTGAGCCAATCCAAATGAAGTGCAATAGGGCGGCTGACAAACAATGACGGAAGGCAAGGTAAAATATCAAAGTATCTAAACCGTCCCGTACCACCACGGTATCTGGCTGTGTACGACGAGTGGGGCTTCCGTCGAGTTCCAAAGATTCCAATTCCTGTCGCCCTGCCCTGGGGAGGGGCCACCCAACTGGGTCATCAACCCGTTTTTTTCTTGCCGGATCCGTCCCTCTTCCTCTCAAAGGTTAGGAAGGGGAGTTTGTGTTCTGCGCTGGGTCAAGTCTATTAACAATGGAATATTCGAGTAACTATACCACTATTGTAGACGCCTTGGCCATCACCCCCTCTGCAGTATAGTCGTCATCTATTAATCTCGATGCTTAATGTATGCACATACGTACTTATGTACAAAGGAGAGGGAAGGGTTCCGTAGCCAGATTGTATTAGTCCTCTTCTAGGACAGCCGCCCCTTTGTACATACGTATGCCGAACATGTGGCTAGAATGACAAAATCGACACAGCTGCCCGGAGTGGGACTAAGAAGACAATGATATCGGGAGGGTACCTGGCCGGTAGTTCCGATATTCCTCAGACCTCATGATTCCCATCCATGGTTGAAAAGAGTAAGTAAAGCGTGCGCTACGTAGTACATCGTAAATACGATCAGTTTAGGCGCCCGATTGGGAGCAATAATGAATAAAATAAAATAAACCGTGAAAAAACAATACCAAAAAAAAAGGCAGAGGAAGGGAAAAGAATAACTCATTTTGCCCTTTCCACCAGTCAAAAGAAAGTATATTTATGAGTTAGTAATTAGCATCCAAAAGAGGTAGCGTTCAACCTCTATAGAGAATTTTTGTATCTACCATGTATTATCCAAGAGTACTCACTTTTGAGACCTTATTGGCTTATTTTTTCGTTCCTTGTATCTAAATATTATCCCGAATCCTGCACCTCAAAGAGATGATCATCACAGCGCTTAAAATGGACAAGTCATGTTAGTTGTACAAGATGTATAGTGAGCTTCTCCTCCTATTAGGAGGTACTATTCCCAACCATCTAAAATTCCTTAAGCTAAACAGCCGAAAGGAGTTTTGTCACGCAGTGGAAGCGATAAGACTCCAACCATGGATGCCACTGTTAGTGGAACCCCAAAACAATGCCAAGCCTGCACAAATAGATAAAACTGGCGCGGGAGGGAAATGTGAAGCATCTACCCCTTGTTTCGGATTCCATGTGAGCGCTTACGGCGAGCCAATGGGGTCCAGTAATCTCGAGGCTCACCCCCTCCAGTGGCTCCTATGGCTGTAGCCCACTTCCCGGTGCGGTGTATGTTGGATGCGTCCACAATGTATGCGCTTTCCAAGAGTAGGTATTAATTTACAGGCAAAGGTTTTCCGTGAAGAAACCGGCAATTCCTTCTCAGCCCGACTAGGATTGATATTACTTGTCTCGCTGACCGGATGGTTAGCGCTCCCAAGATGATCTCACAGCCGAAGTGAAGCGGCTTTTCTAATAGGCATGATATATTGTATGGGGATTGAACAGGGGAATCCTCAAGGTAATGCTGGGATATTTTTGTGGGAACAGGTAGAAGAGCATCCCCGACTCATCTGGTTCAATGGGTGCCAAAAATAGACGTTATATGATCAAAACATGTTAGGGCGTCGAAGCTTCTCTTTCCCTTTTTCATTATTTTTTATTTTTTATTTTTTTTCATATTTATGTTTATTTTTATTATTTTTGATTATTTGATTATTTGATTATTATTTAGGTTTTCATTACCCCCTTCTCCCTTCGATTCTGCATAGACCATAGGTTGGCGACTAGCAGCAATGCCTTTCTTGTTAATAATAATCAGGGTAGAGTTAACCTGCCACGATCTACTGATGGTTTCAGTCCCCTGATTTTGACTCAGTTTCTACCAGCCGCTTACTACATACAGACAATACTGAACAATGGACATCAAGCTAAATTTCGGCCCTATACAGCCTCATTAGCTTTACTCGGGTTTTAGGTAACTTGTGATAAGTCTGATTAGCCATTTTGACCGGTCACTTTCATATAGTGACGAATACTGTCACCTTTGCCATCAGGCCATGTCAATATGAAGGAACCTAATTGGCAGAGAAGTCGAGACTGCAACTCAGATACCTTTTCTAGTTATACTCCATACTATCTTCTATTGAATCCTTCTAATATACATAGATTAATTCTCCTATCTTGCCGTTGACCTTAAAATCCTAGCGCAACTGATAAAATCCAAAGCTAAACTAGGTTCGGACTCCAGGGTCTTGGACATGTGCTTTACTACTATACGGCATACTTACTCGCTGTCGTTTGCTTTATAGTGTTCATCTATAAAAGGTCTTGTCGGGTGACTTTTTATTGGCATGCCACGTAACATTATCAGTATTGATCACATTCCAACGCCGACTGTGTCATCTTCATGTAAAGTAGAGTCTTGGCTGTCAGTTACCCTGTCTAGTATAGGGTATAGGTCTACGGGATATAAAGATGTGGACAGGTACGCTAGGAGAATTTTTATATTAAAATGGAGAATCTGACACGCCGTACAATGCGTTATATTAAGTGACCCATGCATTTTGCGAACTATAAGGCTTTAGTACATGTTCGTCCATATTCATTCAAAACGGTCAACCACGTTAGAGTCTAGACACCAGAGGTGATCTGCACGACCCAATTCTTGGGAGAAGATAGCAAGCTTCCAGCGACGATCACTCATCGACAAGCCCTGCGAGGATCATAGTTTTCCACTTTACAGTGTTCCATAAATGCGTTTCTCCTATAGTATTGATAATGTCAGGATGGTCTCTAAGCGGGTAGCTTGGGCCCGCTGGTGGTCTTATCCTCTGTACATTGTTAAATATTGTTGCTTATAAACCACGCGAAAATAGTCAAAAGTAATTGGCCCGATTGTTGTATCCCAGTCAATCTAGGTACGAGTAGATACTCCACTATTTCGGCCGAATGCACCCCAGCCTATCCTGTATGGATGTGTATGTTCACACAGAGTGACTTGGCGTACGAAGTATGTGCATAGACCTGCCCATGCATGCGTAACCATATAAGGGAAGGGACAAAGACTACTGCTTAGAATCAACAAACCAGCCATGAATAAATACCCGAAGTGATTTTCAACCGAAGGTGCGGGAACCTACTTCCTTGCAACCATCCGATTACCTAAATGCCGGAGGCTGGTTGTTTAGCAAGATATCCGAGTTTCCGACGGAGTTATCAACAAGGCAGATCTGATGATATCATTAATTGCTAAAGAATACTCCTGGAAGCTAGGCAGGCACAGGACCCAGGTATTAAGAAGACTAGAACAGCTTCGTTTGGGCCTTTCCCCATCCACAAGTGGACTTAACTGTGGCTACGGAAGCAATCAATAGTACCTTAACTCCTTTCGGATTCCCCCACTTTGGCAACTGAAAGAGGTAATTGTGCCTGGGCTAGACTACAAACAGCTTAGGGTTTCTTTGCACGACGGACATACTGCAATGCGCGGAAAGGATTACGGTTGTCTCATCCCCCAAAGTCACTAGTTCAAGAAAAGTGAGAAGAAATTTTCTCTGTTTTCCTTTTCTTTTTGTCTAAGGAAAATTCTTTTCTTTCTTATTTCCCACTAGGGAGTAGTAGATGCGATGATCATTGAGAAAAGGTGGAACCTGGTCTTTGGCCCGCTCGGTACGACGAGCTGTTGCTTGATCGGCCATGGTGAAACGATCTAGAAAATTTTCTCTGAATATTCAACTGTTCATGTTTACGAGGTCATTGTGTAAGTCTTGGGTACTATTAATATCACAAGTTCGAATTTTTGATATCATGAAGCCACCGTCTCAATGGTTGCACCCTACTTAACATATACTTTGCCAAAACATAGTCTGAGAAAACATGAATACTACCTTGGTCAGATTTAGTGCAACAAGAGATTAGTCGGTGTTGTTGTATACTAGCTTGGGGCCTTTTTTTCCTTTTGCTTTTTTTTCCCATGCTTTCTATCCTTTCTACTTCCTGTGTCCCCCTCCCCACAGTTTGAACCAAAATTCGAGGCTCCTGGATTTCAACCTATCCCATATGGAGTAACTCACAAACAGGGAACTGTCCAACTGAACGATTGGAGCATTTGGTCTCCGGTAGACTTAGCACATCTTGGCGCTACTAGACTGCGGGCGAC